TGAGGATTTTTGTTTTCTTGACATTGAGATGTAATCCATACCGAAGGCTGTGCTCTTTGATCTTCATCAGTAAATGTTTTAAGTCCTCTTCACTTTAAGCAAGCAAGGTTGTATCATCTGCAATCCTGATGCCACAGTTTTCTTCATAGAACCCAGCTTCTCAGATTATTTGCTCAGCATACAGTTTGAGTAAGTATGGTGAAAGAATACAGCCTTGTCACACACCTTTGTTAATTTTAAACCATTCAGTGTTCCCATGTTCTGTTCGAACAACTGCCTCTTGTGCCAGGTACAGATTCCTCATGAGCACAGTTAAGTGTTCTGGCATACTCATAACTTTGCAATGTTGTCCATAGCATGATCCACACAACCAAAAGCCTTTGCGTAATCAATAAAGCACAGGTAAACATCTTTCTGATATTCTCTGCTTTCAGCCAAGATCCATTGGACATCAGCAATGATAGCCGTCGTTCCATGGCCTCTTCTGAATCCAGCTTGAACCTCAAATACTAATTTGTTGTGTGTGTTTCTTAATATTGAGCAATAGACAAAACTAAAGGCTATTTTAGTGGTTCTTATGTAGAGTTCTGGAAATTTTACCATTATCCAAGGAAGAGATGTGCTTAAAACAATTTAAAGGGGTTGTGTGAGTCCCCCCTCCCTACACTCTTTTAATCTCTGTAAGTGATTGGACCACAATGATAGGAAGCAGAAGATAGAGCCTTTTCATTTTTTAAAATACAAGCTCAAGTCAGAAGCATAATGGACTATCTTTTCTCTTCCAAAATGTACTGGAGATTTTTAAAGTACAGAGCTTCACTGTATTAAGCTTAAGTGGTTTTCAGAGCTGTTCAAAGAACAAAGGACTCTGACATGGACTGGTGATGGTGCCTGATGTCTCGCTGTTGGAAGGAGTAAAACAGATGATCTTGGAGCGCTCACTTTTCTCTGCCGTTAGACTGGACCTTCTCAGCTTAGTCAGCACACCTCCTCAGCTTGCAAATCTGTTTGCCTGTCCTTGAGTCTTGGTTCAATTTCCTTGTCATCAGCAAGGGAGAAAGTACATAGTGTCTTTGTGTGGGGAGCTTCCTTGGGCCACCACTGAAAGACTGGTTCCCCAGCACACCTTGAGTTTTGCCCACTGGCTACGCTGGCTTCTGCCCAGCACTGCTACCAGAGGTATAATACACGTGCAATAAATTCATTCAGTTTTTTAAAGCAATTTTACTGAGACAATACTTTATGTATGATTCATTTTGATAATCTGTTTTTTCCAACATTTTATTATGAAATTTTTAAACATATAGAAAAGCTGAAAAAATTCTACATTGAGCCCACTCACAAATTATATAAATGAGATTATAAGGTTATGTTCTACAGTTAACCTTGTACTGTACTCGCTTTTTACCACATTGATACTACATTTTTTGACATTAAACTAGACCATTAGATCTTAACACTGAGTATTTCTGTTAGTCCAACAACTTTTCTTTTAACAGAAATATTTGATATTGTTGTTGGGTGCCGTCAAGTCAGTTATGACTCATGGCAACCCCATGCACAACACAATTAAACACTGTCCGGTCTTGCACCATCTCTACAATTGTTACACTTTAGCCTGTTGCTCCTGCCACTGTGCCAGTCCATCTCATTGGGGGTCTCCCTCTTTTTCACTGACCCTTCGCTTTTTCTTTTCTTTTTTTTATGTCCTTCTCCAGGGACTGGTTCCTCCTGATAACATGTCTAAGTATGAGAGACAAAGTCTCACAACTGTGGCTTCTAAGGAGCATTCTGGTTGTAGTTCTTCAAGATAGATGTTTCTTCTTCTGGCGGTCCATGGTACTTTCAGTGTTCTTCTCCAACACCATAGCTCAGATGCATCAATTCTTCTATGGTCTTCCTTGATTATTATCCAATTTTCACATGCATATGAGGCTACTGAAAATATCTTGGCTTGGGTCAGGCAAATACCTTAGTCCTCATACTGATTTTTTTGTTCTTGAAAAAACAGTGCAGCAGATTTGCCTAAAGCAACACATTTGATTTCTTTTTTTTCCCCCAAAACTTTTTATTGTGAATTGAGTGAAGAGTTACAGAGCAGATCATCAGTTTTACATTCAACAAATCATATACTTTGCTTCGTTTCATGGTTACAATCCCTTCCATGTACCAACAGTTAACAGTATTTATCTCTATTCTCTTTAACTATTGCACTCCTCCCTGTGCCTCCTGCTACCTTCATTTTTCCTCTGCTAACCTCCCTCTTGTTGTATTTTGCCTGCCCTGTCACCCCTGTTAGTGTATGTCTACCCTCTTGCCCATGAATAATTTCCTCTCCTCGCCCCCATCCTATAACCATCATAGATTGTTTCTGTTTTCAAGGAAACCTTTTTGTTGTTGTTGTTTCTCATGCAACTTTCATTGGTCCTGGGAAAGGAGGAAGGCACCCTGCCTCTCAGCCCAAGGGCCCCACACATAGTCCTCACTGCTTCTTGTTATCCACACAAATCTGCTCTGCCAGGCCTCCCTTTGCTGCCAAAGCTGCTCACAAGATGGTCCAGCTTCTTGGATTATTTGCTCAGCATTTAGATTGAATAAGTATTGTGAAAGTATACAACCCTGGCACACACCTTTCCTGATTTTAAACCATTCAGTATTCCCTTGTTCTGTTCTAATAGCTGCCGCTTGGTCTTTGTACAGGTTTCTCATGAGTACAATTAAAAGTGTTCTGAAATAACATTCTTCATAATATTCCCTGTAGCTTGTCATGAGCCACAGAGTCAAAAGTTTTTGCACAGAAAGTAAAGCACAGGTAAACATCTTTATGGTATTCTCTGCTTTCAGCCAAGATCCATCTGATGTCCCTACTTCCATGTCCTCTTCTAACTCTGGCTTAAATTTCTGGCAGCTTTCTCAATGTTCTGGTGCAGCTGCTTTTGAATTATCTTTAACAAAATTTTACTTGTGTGTGATATTAATGATTTTGTTCAACGATTTCTGCATTTTGTTGAGCCACATCTTTTCAGTGTGAACACATATACAGGTTTCTTCCAATCAGTTGGCCAGGTAACTGTCTTCCAATTTCTTGGCATAGATGAGTGAGTGCCTCCAGTGCTGCCTCAGTTTGTTAAAGATTTCAATTTGTATTCCAGCAATTCTTGGAGCCTTGTTTTTTGCCAATGCCTTCAGTGCAGCTTAGACTTCTTCCTTCAGTTCCATCAGTTCTTGATCATATGCTACCTATTGAAATAGTAAGCACCAACCTTTTTTCTTTACTTCTGTACACTTACTCTGTGTATACCTTTAGTTTTCTTTGATGGTTTTACATCATTCAATATTTTCCCCATAGAATCTTTCAGTATTGCATGTTGAGGCTTGAGTTTTTTCCTCAGTTCTTCCAACTTGAAAAATGATTAGTGTGTTCTTTCCTTTTGGCTTTCTAACTCCATCAAAGTCTTTGTATATTTCATTATAATATTTTACTTTGTCTTCTCAAGCTCAACAAATTTTCTCTTCAGCTCTTTGATTTCCTCATTTCTTCCATTTGCTTTATCATCTTTATGCTGGAGAGCAAATTTCAGAGTCTTTCATAACATTTTTGTGGTTTTTTTCCTTTTCTGTCTTTTTAATGACCTTTTGCTTTCTTTCTGTATGATGTTATAGATGTCATCCCATATCTCTTCTGGTCTGTATTGAATCTGTTCTTGAGATGATCTTTAAATTCAGTTGGGATATGTTCAAATTTATATATTGGCTCTCATGGATTTGTTTTAATTTCTTCAGCTTCAGCCAGGCTTGCCTATGAGCAGTTGATGGTCTGTTTTAGTCTGCCCCTGGCCTTGTGTGGCTGATAATACTGAGCTTTTCCACTGTCACTTTTCACAGATGTTGTCAGTTTGATTTTTGTGTAGTCTATCCAGTAAAGTCCAAATATATAGTTGCCTTTTATGTTCTTGTATTCTTCTCCAACACCAAAATTATCATGCATCAATTCTTCTGTATTGGTGTTGTTACGTGTCATCAAGTCAGTTCCAACTCATAGCAACCCTATATAGGGTTTCTGAGTAGCAGCTGGTGGGTTTGAACCATCAGCCTTGTGATTTGCAGTCCAATGCTGATCTTACAGTGGCACACCAGGAATCCAGTTCTTCTATGGTCTTCCTTATTCTTTGTCCTACTTTTCACTTTTTTTAAAAAAAGGTATTTGAAATGAGTAATTCATAGATGTTGAAAAATTTCTATCATGCAATCTCCAACATTGTTCAATCACCAAAACCTTATTTTCCAACTACTTATACTTCCTCTTTGTTTCCAACCTTCTCATTCTAATCACCAGTAGTTATTAATGCATCATGACTGCATGCTTGATCAATTTCAGACTGAAAAGTTGGTTGTTGTTGTTGTTATTGTTAAGAACCTTCAAGTTAGTTCTGACCCATTGAATTCTTCAGTTGTCAATGGCTCTTATCAGTTGATGTATAAATTTTAATAGTAGTGGTATTAACTGATCTTCCTTTTAGGCATTTGGATATTATCCTATTACAGACAGCATTATATTTCAAGATAGATCTTGAAATTTCTTTTTGACAGTGAGTGCAATGTCATTCCTCTTCAGTTTGCTGTTCTGGAATAGTATACCATATGGATTGTCTGATTCAAAATGGCAATTCCAGACCATTTCAATTCACTGATGTGTAGAATATCAGTCTTTCTTATGTGTGCCATTTCATTTTTGACAACTTCCAATTTTCCTAGATTTATACTTCATGCATTCTCTGTTCTGATTATCAGTGGATGTTTGCAGTTGTTTCTTTTTATTTTGAATTGTGCCCCTCAGCAAATGAAGGTCCCAAAAGCTTTACTTCATTCGCATCATCATGATCAACTCTACTTGGAAGAGGCAGCTCTTCCCCAGTTGTATTTTGAATGCCTTCCAACCTGAGGGACTCATCTTTTGGCACTATATCTGATGGTATTCATGTTTTCATCTTTCAGCACTGTATCTGAGAATGTTCTGCTGCTATTCACAATGTTTTCAGTGGCTAACCATTCAGAAGTAATCTGCCTCTACTTATTCCTCATCCACCTTAATCTGGAAGCTCCCCTGAAACCTGTCCACCATGGGTAAACCTGCTGATATTTAAAATACTGGCATAACTCCCAGCATCACAGCAACACACAAGCTGCCACAGTATGACAAACTGACAGTAGTCCCACTGACTTTCATCTTACACTTTGGATAACCTGGTTAGAATTTTAGCCTTTTAAAAAAGTAAATTGTTTGTGTGTTGCCTGTCTTCAACATTGTCTTCATGTAAATGATTTCAAGTTAACAGCACATAGTTTTCCCTTACTTTAGCTTTCTAACCAGTAACAGAAACCCCTAGTGACCTCTCAAAGAGACATGTGCGTCACAAGAACAGTACAGTTTTGCTTCTGTCTGCCCCAATTCAGGAAGTTGGAGGCCCCCTGGGTTACCAGACAGCTGAGACTTCTGTTGGGACCAGTTGAAACTTGTTATATATAACAGTGTGTGCCAGGTTCTTGGGAAAGTTGAATAAAATTTCAAGCCTCAGCTGGAGCTGACAGTTGTTTTTTTGTTGCTCTACAGAATAAAAAGGGCACAGAGTTGCTGCTTGGAGTGGATGCCCTAGGGCTTCACATATATGACCCTGAGAACAGGCTGACCCCTAAAATCTCCTTCCCGTGGAATGAAATTCGAAACATCTCCTACAGCGACAAGGAGGTAGGACATGTTTGTACTGCAGATACCACTGTGGCCCAGGGACAGAGCTGCTCTTGTCTCACCCCAGAGCTCAAGCTTTCCACACTAGGCTGTCTTCTTAGTATTAGGAAAGTCTTTTCATTCTCAGACTTTTGCATTAAAAAAAAAATTTTTTTTATAGTACTTACAGAACACTACTGTCATCATAAGGAGCTCTGGTAGCGTAGTGGTTACGAGTCAGTCTGCTAGCCTCACGGTCAGCAGTTCGAAACTACCAGACATTTTACAGGAGAAAGATGAGGCTTTCTGCTCCTGTAAAGATTTACAGCCTAGGGTTGCTATGAGTTAGAACTGACTCCACGGCACAACCACCACCTCCGTTTTCCTGGAGTCCTGGTGTGGTGCTGTAGGATAAAGCACTGGACCACAAGGTCGATTTGAATAGCAAGGTTGGTGCTCCTTGGAAACTATGAGTCACTGTGAGTCGGAACCAACTCAATGGCATTTAACAAAAATTGTCATCTTTATTTAAAGGCAACACTAAAGCCTGCTGCTGACTAAGAAGAGACTGAGAAGCTAAACTTGGTCTAGGCTAAACAACTCACAAACAAAATACCTTTTTCTTATTACTTGGTGAGAAATTCTCCTGGTATTTTAAGTTGGGTATATATTGAGCCCAGTCTCTGTATCCAGAGCTTGATTTATGTGATGGAGAAATGCACTGTATGCATTGTATGTAGAAACACAGGGGGCTTCAAAAAGTTCAAGGAAAAATTCCATTATCCCTGCATCCCATTTTTCCATAAGCTTTTTGAAACCTTCTCATATGGAGTTCTGGTGTGGCGTTGTAGGATAAGCAACAGACTGCTACCTGTAAGTGTCGGCCATACAAACCCACCAGACACTCCTCAGAAACTCTCTGTAGGATCACTGTGCATCTCTGATGGCAATTAACAACAACATACATGAGTTGGAACCAACCTTATATAGGGGTTCCAAGGCTGTAAGTCTTTGTGGGAACAGCAAACCTCACCTTTCTCCCTTGGAATAGCTGGTGGACATGAACCACCTCCTTCTGGTTCACAGTCCAGTGCTAATCCTACATAGCCTCCATACTCCCATATGTTGTTGTTAAGTGCTTTCGAGCCATAATGGCCCTGTATAGGGTTGCCAAGGCTGCAAATCTTTGCGGAAGCAGAAAGCCCCATATTTCTTCCACTGAGCTACCTGCTAATCTTGTGAATGGTTAGCAGCCCAGCTTGTCATCCTCTATGCTCCCAGGGCTGTATATCATATCACTTGTGATATAAATGAGAGTATAAGTTTAATGTACTTATAAGAATTTAAGAATAATTAAGTTGGAATAACTTAAAAATTAAACAGTCTTCGAGAATTGGAATATTTCTATACAGGATTGCCTTTTCCTAATGCTTTAATCCCTCTCTGCCTTCCCTCCCCCTTCTCTTCCTTCCCAGTTGAGCTTCTTTCTTTGAAACATTCTGGCTTTGAACTTTTTCTAAGTCATTTTCCCAGGAGATGCACTTTTAGGTATTTCTTTTTCAAAGCACTAACACTCAAAGCTCCACAAGACTGAAGGCAGTAGGTGTACCGTGGTGTGGTAGTTACTCATCTCCAATTTCATAAAATCTGTTTACTGCACATGTACACATTTGTGTGCTAAAGGCTCCCCAAACACTCATTCTTCAAAGAACCCAAGGATTTAAGTCTCCCTAAGTACGGCTTGACTCAATAAACTCTAATATACCCTCTCCAGGGGCCAGGCACCATCATGTTCTATCATGTCAATAACTCAGGCAGTAAGAGGGCCCCAAGCTGACTTGACAGAATAGGAAGTAGTCTTGGTAGTTATGCATGACAGCCGAGCTGTCAAAACAGAAATGTTAGTTTATTTTAAGTGATCCATTGATTCTTTGTGTGCACCCTGGCATGGTGCAGAGCCTGTGGTTTCCCCACTACTTGTGGTTTCCCACTGACAGCTCTGGGGTTTGACAGCAAGACCCAAAATAAGCTCACAGAATTCACAAATAGCAGTCTACACAAGAGCAATACTGCTTCTAAGTTCTCTTGACACAAAGCTAAACAAAGAATCAATTTTTTTTTGCCCTCAATGTGTTAACTCCTTGTTGGACAATATAGCATGTGAAAGAAATGCTCAAGAATATATCTTACCAAGCATTTTTATCTGCTCAGCAAGTCTTCCTTGGAAATGAGTATCTATTTGTAAATGCATCATTGAAATCTGATTATCTGTCTTGTCCCATCTGGGAAGGTTGAGAGCAGTGGTTGCTGTTGGTGTTTTGTATGCTTTGGTGTGGCACTGTGGGTTAAGGCACTGGACTGCAAATTGCCTTGAGCCACAAGGTCAGCGGTTCAAGCTCACCAGCTGCTCCTCGGAAACCCTGTACCAGGGTTGCTATGGGTCAGAACTGATTCAACAGCAGTTAACAACAGCAATAATTATTAAACTACACCCACTCCTTGGAGTTCAGGTGTGGCTCCATAGAATGTGTACTGCATGCTAACCACAAGGTCAGCGGTTCAAACCCACCAGTCGTCACTCCTAGGAAATTCTATACAGGCTGGCTGTGAGTCAGAACCGATTTGAAGGCACTTAACAACAACAAGCCTCTCCTTGGTGTTCCTCTTTCTTTCCCCTTCAATTTCAGGAACTCTGGTTTTTTTTTCTATTGCAGTATATTTTTTACTTCTGCTTTATGTCTTTTATTAGCAGCTTTCATCAAATTATCCCCAGGTTCAGTCTCTTTTAATGATTCCTTGTATACTGTCAAGTCAAATCTAGACTCTCCTGTCATTTATTCCTCACCTGCCCACTCCTGCCTCCATCCTATGTAAATCTCTTTGTCTGGAGCTTTTCCCTCAACATTACTCTTTTTTCTCTCTCTCACACATACACTGTGCTCATTTCCCCATCTCTGCCTTTGTTTCTGTTGCTTACACTATTCCCCTTCATCCTACTTTTTAGCTTCTCTGTCATGTTCTTTTCAAGACCAGCTTAAGTCCCTATTACTTAACATAGATCTTTTCTGCATTCCCAGGCATCGAGTTGGTTCTGACTCATAACAATCCTGTATAGGGTTTTCAAGGAGCGGCTGGTGTGCTTGAACCACCAACCCTCTGGTCCAAGTGGACCTTGCAGTCCAGTGCTTATCCTACAGTGCCACACCAGGCAGTGCTAATTTATCATGTAATATCTTGTGTAGTCGATTGTTTTTAGCCTGCTTCCAACTAAATGGTGAGCTTCATGGAGGTGAGTCTCCTGCCTTTGGCTCAGCAGTGGACCCTCAAGGTTGGGGCCACCAAGCGTTCTTATTTCAGTCACCAAGCATTCCTTCCACACACCCACACGGAAGATGGTGGTGATCTTGAACTAGCACAGCCTCAGACTTGGTGCTCTCAGAGTCTTATGTTTTCACCTTGGCTTAGTGCCTAGCTACCAAGAAGTGAGGACCAGGCACAGTCTTAGGCTGGTTCTTTGGCAGTGGTTGCTGGTTTTGTGAAATTTCCCACTTGGTGATAACATTCTAGTTTGTTTGTCTAAAACTATTTTTTGCTTCTTTTAGTTTACAATTAAACCACTGGATAAAAAAATTGATGTCTTCAAATTTAACTCCTCAAAGCTTCGTGTTAATAAATTGGTAAGTGGAGATTCTGGTTTTTATTACTGATGACTGTAGATTTTCTGTGAAATTGAATGCTTCTGTCTAGAGAGTATCAGAATGTCATTTTGTAAGGCATAAAATGAGAACTCACCAGACATGCTTTGCTGATGGGCCTTGAAAGACTCTTCTCTTTTTTAGCTTAACCTAAAGAGTCAAACCTAAATTTTGTGATAAAGTTTTAAGCATTGTTTTTGTTGAAATAATTCATACATGGTGGATGGTGGTCATGTGCCATAGAGTCGGCTCCGACTTACAGTGACCCTGTGTAGGGTTTCTGAGGTTATAAATCTTTATGGGAGCAGAAAGCCTCATCTTTCTCCCAAGAAGCATCTGGTAACTTCAAACTGCTGACCTTTTAGTTAGCAGCCCAACTTGTACCCCCCTATATTACCAGAGCTCCTTAATTCATGCCTATATAAGGATAAATATAATGTATATGCTACGGGGGTTAAAAATGTTTGTGGGAAAACTCCATTAACTTTTAATTCCATTTTCTCACAAGCTTTTTGAGGCCCTCATATACGATATAAAGAATAATGAAAATGAATACCTATGTACCCATTACCCTGCGTTAAGAAATGGCACATTCCTAATAATGGAGTCCCTGGTGTGTTGCTGCAGGATAATATGCTGGGCCACAAGGTCATTGGTTCAAACCCATCAGCCATTCCTTGGAAACCCTATATAGGTACCTATGGGTCGGAACCAACTCAATAGCACTTAACAACAATACTGTTGGCAGGAGAAAGATGAGGCTGCCTATTCGTGGGAGGATATATAGTCTCGGAAACTCTATATAGGGTGCTATGAGTTAGGATCAACTCAATAGCAGTGACTTTGGGGTTTGGTAATACTACTGAAGAATGGTTAACCATTGTTGATGCAGTGGTTAGACACTTGGCTGCTAACTGAAAAGTTGGCCGTTCAAACCCACACACTGCTCTGTAGGAGAAAGATATACCAGTCTGCTTCCCTAAAAATGTATAGCTGAGTAAACCCTATAGGGCATTTCTACACTATACTACAGGGTTGCTATGAGTTGTAATTGACTTGATGGCAGTAGATTTTTTCTGTTTTGTTTCTTAACGATCATACAGATATCCTGTGTTCGAAAACTTTCAAGGTTTCAATCTTCACTATTTAAGCCTTCGATACTTCTGGAATTGGTTGTTGTGTGGTGTGAGGAAGGGATCCAACTTATATTTTTTTCTGTATGATTAACATAGTCCCAGCTCAACTTGCTGAATAATCTTGCCTGATCTGTAGAGCCATATCCCAATTTAGGAGAGTGAGATGCATCCAGAAGACATGATGAAGTGTCCTTTATTCATTCCTCTCTTTACTTGTGATTTTTACCTCCTGGCTATCCGAGACATCTTCATTTTGCAAAAGGTCATTAGTAGAACTTGGATATTTTACCCCATTCTTTTCCTCTTCAGGTCCACTACCCTCAAGAGCCCACAGATGAAGTTGTTGTAGCACTGATGAGCTGGTAGGCTCAGAAGTAAATGTGTGGGTTTAACATTTCTTCTACTCCCCTGGCCACAGATTCTCCAGCTCTGTATTGGGAACCATGACCTCTTTATGAGGAGAAGGAAAGCTGATTCTTTGGAAGTTCAGCAGATGAAAGCCCAGGCTAGGGAGGAGAAGGCTAGAAAGCAGGTGAGCCACTATTTGAACTGATGTTGTCGCTGCTTGTTCGATCTTAGCCTGGGTGGCAAGGAGTGGTTGTGAGTTGGCAGGTGTTGTTCGGCCATGGTACACCTGCTCTTATTTTATTCCTGTTGGTTGATGTCCAGCTGATGGGATGTCAACTCTGGAGATGAGGAGGAAACCTCTCTTGTTACTTCTGTGCCTAGTGAAATTGGGTCTGATTAACACACGTTGAGATAACTTAGCACCTGTGCATCCATCCCTCTTTTTTTGTTGTTGCCTGCCTGACTCCCTTGCTGGGCCTTCTCTTTGTATAATTAGATAGTGATAGAATGTGGGGCAGCATTTCAGTGCTTGCTGCTGGAATGCTAATTAGACTCACGGCAGCACTTCCCACTGCAGGCCCGCTCCACAGCTGCTCCTGGTCCACAGCAGGAGGGGCCCAGTGAGGATCAGCGGACTGCATGAGCTGCATCATTGTTTCCTACTCCTGGACCTTTACTCCTCACTGAAATCCACACAACTCATTCGAGCCTTGCTGCTGAGAATATCAATTGTGTTTGGGGGTGAACTGTTAGATGACAGTGGTAGCAACTGTAATCAGCTTTCCCCAGGACCTGCAGGCGTCGTAATTAGTCTGTGCACTGCACTCTGACTTGGCTACACCAGAGCAGCAGGCTCCCTGCCCTGGACTGAGAACCACACACCCAGTCTGATGCCCTGGGCCTTCAGCTTTTCTTCTTGCTTTCGAGAGAACAGCCTGAGATAGCACTTTGGGGATGGGGGGTTGGGTTTTATCAGACAAAGAAATGCTTTGGAACCAACTTGTGAGAAATGTTGTCCGTACTGACAAATGCTCAAGTAATCCAATCTTTACTCATTTTAGCAAGAGTGAGGTTTTCTTTATTCGATTTTGCAAAACCTGATGCCCAACCCAGTAAACACACATAGCCCACCACAAACGGTTTTTATTCTTGCCCCCCAAAAGCCCCTCCTCCAGTTCCAGTTCCCCATATACAAGTCTGTGGCATGTCCCATTTTCCCTCCCTCCTAGAGAAGCCAAAATGTCTTGCCCATGGTCTTAGTGACTGTATTCTTATTTAAAGTTCCTAGTCCTAGAACAGCCTGCTTAGGTTTCCCTGGATGCAAATCAACAATCTCTCTGCCTGGTCTAGCAAGCTCATGAATTCCTGAAGATGGACCACACCCACAAGAGTTATTTGTCACAAACTCAGGGTCATAGGGGCAACTTCTAGAAGAGTCCTCTTTGACCTCCTTTCCAGCGGAGCAAAGCTTAGAAGTCAGAGATCTGAAAAGAGCTAGGAGGATGTGGGCCTCGGGCTCTGACAGTGACTAACTCATACCCCTAACAGACGTGCCCTACCTGTAGAGCTGGTAACTGAGGAGGCTCCATGGCCCAGAGGGGCAAACCTGTGCCTTCTGAGACTTCATCTGTGACCTTAAGTGGAGCTGAGTGAGATCTCTTTTTCTGTCTCACATAAAAGATCATACCATACCTCGATGCTTTTGTTAGCAATAAACTACTTTGCAAAAGGGATGGAGGTCTCAGTGAAAGGCTGACATTGGGCTGTTTTTCAAGTGATGAATGAAAAGGATGTAATAATCTACTTGGATTCTTTGGATGGTACAGTCAATATGCTCAGCCCCTTACCAAAAGGTCCAGTTTAAGCCTACCCAGAAGCACCTTGGAAGAAAGGCCTGGCAACCCATTTCCAAAAAAAAAAACTGCATTGAAACCCTAAGGAGTACAGTTGCACTTTAGACAGTCATGAGGTCACCATGTGTCAGAATGACTCTAAGGCAGTGGCAGCTGGTGTTTTTTGTTTTTCAAATAATCACTTAGCATTATAATGGAAATCAGACCTTTGGGCCAAGCTTCTCATTGACCTATGAGAGGGCAAGTACAAACTTGACAGTATTTCATTGCTCATCTTTACACTGTTCTTTCAAGTTCTCATGGTTTTTTTTTTTTTTTTTTGGCTGGTTAGAAAAAGCAGTTTTAGAAATCTTGTGTTACTAGAGCTTGGAGTAAGGTTGAAGCAGGAAGTAAGTATTTAAGCATGTCCTCATTATCTAAGCAAAGTATCATGCAGGGGTCACTTCTAGCTTCTGCTTTCTGAACTGGGTCAGTAGCTGATGATCATGCAGAATGGCACTTGTCCTGTGCATGTTCTCCTTATTAAACTCAGCATGTGGCCCAACTAATGCAGTGATCTAGAAGACAAGGTGGCGGTGGCTCTGTGCTGGTGCCTTGAGGTTGGCAGCTGTGTTCCTGGCTAGACTCAGGAGTTGCTGCTACGTGGGGCTGTAAAATTCTGTGCCACAATTACTGCAGCTTCCGCCTGTGAAATACAGCGTGCGAACTGTTGATGTATCCTGCAAAACAGTTCCGTCCTCTCTTAGGCAGAGGCAAGAGTGGAGAGATTCTTGATGGAATTTAAGGTGCAGGAGGGGCCCCCAAGAATTAGAAATGGCAAGGGCCTCATTCAACCAGAGTAGAAAGCAATCTGTTTGTGGGGTTTCATTTCAGTGAGAAAGAAAGCTTCGTTGTGTCTTTAGGTCAGAGCCACCCATGATTTTCCAGCCCCAAGAGGGGAGGGGTGAGGTAGCATCTGCAGCACTTGAGTGTAAAGGATGTAGCCTCCTTCTCTCTGGCTGACACTGGTTGCCTTGTGGTTTTTGGTTTGGGGGTGGTTTTTTTGTTGTTTTTTTTTGCCTTGATATTTTGTTTGCCATTTACCACTAAATTTTTCTTCCTAAAGGCATTGCTTTTAACTTACCAACTGATTTGGAAAGAGGGTGGTGGAGATGAAAATGGCACTTGCTTCCTAAAGTAAAGGGAGGGAAAGGACCCCCAGGGGTGGTGCAGGGGCTTGGATGTTCATGGGGACCTTCGAAGCCCTAGGTCTGGGGCCCCATGACTGTGACTGCTTTTGTTCCCTCTCAGATGGAGCGGCAGCGTCTTGCTCGTGAGAAGCAGATGAGAGAAGAGGCTGAACGCACGAGGGACGAGTTGGAGAGGAGGCTGCTGCAGATGAAAGAGGAAGCAACAATGGCCAATGAAGCTCTGGTGATTCCTGAGGCTCCTGGGAGGCTACATCAGAACGGCCTTGAATTAGGGACATTCCCTCTGACAAGTTTTATTTCCACTTAAAAAAGAGAGAGAGAAAGAAAGAAAACCAGGTGCCTTTAGAGCCACCCATGCTGGCAGATACAGACAGAGGCTGAGTTCCTGAACAGCAGCCAGGATCACCTGGAGGCCTGGGGTCTGAGCCTCAGCATGTGATGCTCCGGGCTGGCTCACTCTCTGGGGTGTTGAGCAGCCGTCCTTTGCATTGGGGTGTTGAGGAGCATCCCTAGCTTGGACCCGCTATATACCAATAACACCCTTACCCCTGGTAGTGACAATTGAAACAGTCTCCAGATATTGTCATATGTCCCCTGGGGGGCCAAATCACCTCTGGGTTTTAATCTGATTTAAAGGAAAAGAACAGAGTTTGGGTTGGTTTCCTCCTCAGTTAAGTAATTAACTAAAAAAAAAAAAAAAAAGATGCTCTCTCTTGTTCTCCTTGGATGGAGGCTTGCAGGACCCTTCTGGTATGACTTGTCATCTGTCACAGAGTCCCTGGGGGCACTCAGTGGCAAGCCCTAAGGAATCTGAGATGATTTCTTGTTGACCTGAGTGTCTGTCGCCAGATCTGGGTCTAACAGTACTTTTCTGCAGATGCGATCTGAGGAGACAGCCGACCTGTTGGCAGAAAAGGCTCAGATCACAGAAGAAGAGGCAAAACTGCTAGCACAGAAGGCCGCAGAGGCTGAGCAGGAAATGCAACGCATCAAAGCCACAGCCATCCGGACAGAGGAGGAGAAGCGTCTGATGGAACAGAAGGTTCTTGAGGCAGAGGTTCTGGCGCTGAAGATGGCTGAGGAGTCTGAGAGGAGGTCAGTGAAGAGCCTGGCCACAGCTTTCTGCTTCTTCATCTCTGGTGCAAGAGAGAGGGTCCTTCCTTGAGAAGTCAGGGAAGGCTGGGTGCTCAGTTCTAGTTGAGAGCTAGCGCTGTTAGAAGGGTACCAAAACTTGGTGCTCTTCTTGTGTGGACCTCTTTGGTCTTGAATGTACCTTCACAAGCAGCTCCTCTCTCTTTGGTAGCTGTGTTTACAGTAAAACCATCGACCATGTCCAAAGATTGATTTTAACTGAAGAGATAGATGTGAGGAGGCTCTTTTTGCACTAAAATAATATAGTTCTTTTCCCTTTCATTTAGAGGTGGGGACAGGGGAGCAGCCATTGCTTACATTTAAAGCGAAGGCTAAACCCCCACTTCCTTTAATGCATTCCTAGTGCAGTGTCTCCTGAGGCAGATGGGAGACAAGGGTCAGAGTCCTCTCTGTAACCAGGATGTCCCCACTCATGATCAGTAGAAGGATAGAACAATCCAGAGATTCTTCTGGGCTCTGGATGTTCGGGTTTTACAGCCGTCATATAAACACTGGCATGCTCCCCACAGCATTTGGCTTTATTGGTTTACGACTCTTGAAGTTGACTTTTAGCTACCCTGATGCGTTCACTACCATTCTCTGCTCTACTCTCTGTACATCATTTTGCGAATATTGTTCCTTGCCTGCCCCACCTTGGTCCCCTTTCTTCCAGTATGTAGTCACATATCCTGCATGTGATGCATGCTGGGCTGACTTCCCTATGCCAGGTTCTCTCAGTGCTACACCCTGCCTGTGTCCTAAGAGGGTGCCTGTAGATGCTGTTGCTCCTTCCAATGGTGAATGAAAGTCGGCCCTTACCCCACAGTTGTCAAGACTCCACTCCTTCTGTCTTCTTCTGCCTTTTGTGATCCCATGTAAGACTTTTGGTTCACTGTACACTTACCAGAAGCGAAGCACAGAAAGCTCTGGCCCCTCTCTACCATTTCTTCTCCCTTTACACCAACTGCAACGATTCTTATTTGACGCTTCTTTCCACTTCCCAGTTCTTCCAGTTTAGATTTACCACTTAAAATGAATAGTACCCAGGAATGTTGTGCTGGCTTTGGAAGGTTTGATTTCATGCAGTTATCCTTACTCTCTACCCCATGGTTTTCGTTCATCTGCTCAGCTGCTGTCCTCTGGGTTAGCCTATGACCAGTGGGGGTTTCCTCTGTTATCCTCTCTAGGGTAGGGATTTTTTCCCTCCACTCTGTACTATGTGCAGCTGATAGCTCTAGTCATCCTTGCAGGGCCAAGGAGGCAGATCAGCTGAAACAGGACCTACAGGAAGCCCGAGAAGCAGAGCGGAGGGCCAAGCAGAAGCTCCTGGAAATCTCCACCAAGCCCACATACCCGGTGAGCATGCGGGGAGGCTGGTGGTCTCGTGTTCCTCACACTTTGGTTCATCACGCAGTGCCTTTCAGGCTGACTGTTCAAGCAAACGGGTGATACAGAGAGACAGTGTACATCTCTGGTCTGCCTTCGGACCTTGGACTAGTTTGTTGCCTTTCTGGTTGCCTATCTGACAGGCAACAGGGCCTTTTCTAACGCTGAAACACTTTTTGTCTTTGTCTAAGAACTAGAGTCCCAAATTATCCTTAAGAGAATTTGCTTTCTAGCTTATTCATGCTGAGTTAAAGGTAATCTCCCACTCCCAGTGTATATGCCACATGTAGCACATACCATTACAAGCATGCTTCAGAGTGCCCGAGTACACTGCAAGACCCAGCTTCCAACCTCAATTTGGGGACAAAAAGGCAGACTTCTATTCAAAGGACTCACCAAATGAGCAGAGAAGTCCTTTTCTTTCCTTGGTGCATTCAACACTTAACATTCAACCAGCAAAGATGTACATTCCTTAGTCCAGATCCCACAACGCAGTTATGTCCCTTGACAGGTACACTAGGGCGGGCAGAGAGAAGGAGTACTCTGTTCATCCTGAAGGGTTAAGAGAGGCCTCAGCATGGCACCAGGGCTGAACGTTGAAGGATGAGGAGGAACTATCAAGTGGCAAAGAGGGGATGTGTACAGGACTCGGGTGCATGTGGGGCTCAGGCACAGACAGGCATGGGGTACAGAGGCGTAGATTGCCCAGGTTTGGTGTGGAGAGCATTGTGAGTGTGCGCAGTTTGCTATTGCCTCATGTCCTGGGTATCTTGTGGTGGTGGTATATGCAGTGGAGTCAGTTCTGACTCATAGCAACCCTACATAGGATTTCCGAGGCTGTACATCTTTATGGGAGCAGACTGTGTAACAGTTGCCCCCTCATCCAAGCCAACCACGTGCTTGAAACACTTATTTACCTCCACTTCTGTGGAGCTGGATGGTCCTCGCCAGGGATCTCTCCCTAGGTGGTTGTAGTCAGAAGGCACTTGGGACTTGAGTTGTCTGGGGACTCAGCTGGGCTGGACTCCCAAGATGTGCGTATTTTCAAAACATTCAATGGAACAAACTATTGGTTGTTAAGTGCTGTTGTTAAATGCCATTGAGCTGGTTCGACTCATAGCGACCTTGCCTAGGATTTTTAAGGATGAGCTAGTGAGTTTGAACCACTAACCTTGTAGTTCAGTGCATTACCCTGCAGTGCCACACCAGGACTCTGGAACAAACTATACAAAGTTTTAAAGGAGTCCTGGTGGCACAGTGGGTTAAGCATTGGGTTGCTAACTGAAAGGTCAGCTGTTCAAATCCATCAGCCTCTCCAAGGGAAAAAGATGAGACTATCTGTTCCAATGAAGATTGACAATCCCGGAAACCCTCGGGAACAGTTCTACTGTATCCTGTAGGTCTCTGTGAGTTGAAGTCAGCTCAACAGCAGTGGGCTTTATACATTGTTTTAAGTGTACTATGTTTTCTTGGAGGCAATCAACTGTGTATCAGCTTTTTAGTCATTTTACCTTATATGAATGTATCACAACTTATTCAACCAGTCCCCTACTGATGGGGGTTTAGCTTATTTTCTTTTGCAATTAGAAACAAAATTGCACTGAACATTCTTGGACACAATCTTTACAGGTGCATTGGTAGAATGTTGATGTTGAGTTGTAAAGATTATGTCCAAGAATGTTGTTCAGTACAATTTTGCAGTCAACCCTGAATAGGGTATCTGAGGCTGTAAATCTTGCGGGAGCAGAAAAAGTCTCATCTTTCTCCCATGGAGTGGCTGGTGGGCTTGAACCACCAGTGTTGATTGGTAGAATACATCCTCAGAAATAGCAAGCACTGTTAGGTCAAATTTTTATTTTGGATCCTCTCCAAAGAGAATGTGCCCGTTTCTATTTCCACAGATGGCATAGTATGTAGCTCCTACATTTTGGAGACATTTTTATGAGTATAATACATGTACAGAAAAGGACCCAAACTGTTTGATGCATGCAGTTTGATGTCTTTTCACAAACCGTCCGTCCAGATCAGAAGCAGACGTTCCCAGCACCATCTTTCACACACACAGAGAAATTGACATCAGGTCTGTCACCATCCCAGTGATCTGAGCCTTGGCTCTTTCCCAAGCTCTGTCCTGGACTCAGTGAAGGAGCCTAGGATGAGAAAGATCCTGCCCTCAGGAAAGGTATAGTCGGAAGAAGGCGGCACAGCCCCAACTGATTATAGAGCGAAATAAAAACAGTGCCATTATACACCACAAGCACAACACTGTGGCCCAGCCAAGGAAAGAGTTCTGGTTTTGGTAATCTGACCAAAAGGGATCTAGAAAGGTTCTGGTGAGAGAGCGTGTCATTTCACATGGCCTTAAAAATGAGAGGAAGGCTTGGGGAAAAGAATGGCAGAAGAGAGGCAGTTCAAGAGGTCGTAAATGATTGTATTCACTATTTTGTAGGACAGATAGTAGGAGAAGATGGGGAGGTAGACTGGGACTTATTTTAGATGCCCTACTTTGGCTCCTTCTTTAGGACCTCAAGATCCAAACCAATGAACATGGTCTGGTCCCGATTTTCCCTTCCCAACTCTTGACACCCATCATTCTTGAAGAACATTCACCCTACCACCACCACCACCACCACCAAGCCATGCCTGTACATGCCTGACAAGCCTTCTCCTTCTGGCACGTTTCCTGGCACCTCTGCTATGCTTTCTCCAGCTCCCTGAGCAAGCACTATTCATGCCCTGGCTACAGTAGTGACCTTTTGTAACTGTTATGCTCTGTGAACTCATTTGTTTCCTGAGTGAGTCTTTAAGCCACTTTGTTCTCTGTATCTCAGAGCACAAAGCTTGGGTGTTTCTTAAGTGAATAAGTGAGAATTTGTCTTGAATTTGACTGAGAGTGAGAGGAACTTCCCTAGGTTTGTGGGGAGAAGAATGATTTGCCTGGACATGGATCCTTTGGAGGGGTTCACCTGGCAGTGGTATATGTGTGAGCTTGAAGAGAAGGGAAGTCAGAAGTCCTGGTGATACTGGAAGGGAGGGTCCCATGTGGTGCCCATTGACCTTTGTGGTTGAAGGAAGGAGGAGGTTGGTTATTACCACAGCTGTGTCTTCTGTTCTCATATAACTTGAACCTTCTACTCTGAACTTTCTCATTAATAGCCCATGAACCCGATTCCAGCATCGCTGCCTCCCGACATACCAAGCTTCAATCTTATTGGTGACAGCCTGTCTTTTGACTTCAAGGATACTGACATGAAGCGGCTTTCAATGGAGATAGAAAAAGAAAAGTACGTAGCCTTCCTGGGCCCTGCTCTGAGTAGTCTCCAACTCTCCAGTAGCAGTCACCAGCGAGTGGGAGGGAGTGGCTCCCACACCAGGGAGAACAGTCACCTCGGCAGCCAGGCAGATTGGTTCTGATTAAGAAGGAATTTCTTAATCAGAAATCAAGGTCAGCAGACCTTCCAGGACAGGAATAACACTTTATTTGGTGACCTGGAGTTCATAGTACCCAGAACCACACCTCAACTAAGATCTAGGGCTGTCTGCATAGTAGTGGCCTGCAGTTGTTTTCTAGCTGAGTTCTCTCCTGGCAAGCAGAACTCTGAGATTGGTGTTGCCGCTCATGTCTAGAACACTAGGGGAAGAGAGAAGACACTCAGGCTTGGGGCTGAGGAGAGCGCACCACCACCATGAATGCCCAGGTGCAGTGCTGAGCTGTCTTTCACCTCCATGAGGGTTCAGGGCCAGTGGAAACAGATTGAAGTCTCTGGGTGGTACAGATGGTTAACATTTTCAACTGCTAACTGAATGGCTTGAGGCTTGAGTCTACCTAGAGGCATCTCAGAAGCAAGGCCTGGCAGTCGACTCCTAAAAAATCAGCCACTGAAACCTCTCAGGAGCACATTTCTAATCTGAAATGCTTGGGGTCATCATGAGTCGGGTCAACTTTGCGGCAACTGGTTCTGCCAGTTTGGAAGTAGGTCAGAGATAGAATTCCCAGTGGACAGGGAGTCCAGTGAGGCCCCCTAGTCCCCAGAGCCGTGGGTAAGTGAACTGCTTTTGTGGCACAGAGCCTGTTGCTAATGTCACACTGTGTTTTTGCCCCAGTCTCCGGAGAACAGTCACAATAGCAGCTGTGCCCTGTGGGCCTGTGTATCAGGGCTTTCTAGCTTTTGTCTCCTTCGATTCTCATCACTGATGTCAAAGGTGGGTTTCACTGTTCCACTTTCTATGTAAAAATTAGAGAGAAACTCCCTCAAGTGTTTCTCACACAGTTAAGGAGAAACACCGAGAGCCAGGACACACCCTGTGACCTGTCTGGCCCTGCAGTCTGGATCCTTTTGCACCTGTAGGATCCTTGGGAATTTTCCTCCTTGGAGTCAAATTCCTAGTCAAACTCCTAGGTGGGCATCCAGGAGCCAGGTTGGATTTCTCTCTGGGCTCTCCTACCAACAATATAGTTAGGCTTCAGGGAACCAGGGCCTCCCTCTGTCCGAGTTCCCTCCAGAGTTCAGGCATACTCATTTACATGAGTGTGATCAGGAGAGCCCACATCCTGCTCTGTGTCCTGCTTTATGGTAGTTTCTATTACTACCTTTGCACATGTGGACACAGTCAGATATTAGGCACACTGTAATGAGTCTGGAATGTTCCTTTGCATAGCTGGCCTGGCCAAACCTGTCGTTGGACATTTGGGTGGTTTCTAGATTTCTACCATCACAGTGCATCTACTTGCAGGTGATGGCAGGGATCTCATGGCTCCTTGCCAAAGGGAACCTTCTTCCTCAAGTTGGCTAAGTAAGCATCTGTCATCTTTAGGAGATATAGTCTTAGAACAAGTGGAGTGTGAACGTGACCTACCAAAAGATGTCACTAGACTAGAATTACTACTCTGGGCAGAATCCCAGGAGGAGCTTTGGGGTGCCAGGAGTCTTGTTTTGTGAGTTTTTCATACGAAGCGAAGTTCTCTCTGATACCTGGTATTTGGAGGGTGCTTTATGAGAGTTGAAGGGTCCTAGATGTACTTCAGGTTAGATGTTGGGCTTCTAATTGTAAGGATGGCAGTTCAAACCCACCAGCCATTCCACAGGAAAAAGACCAAGCTGTCTGTTCTCTTAAAGATTTACAGTCTGAAAACCGGACTCGGCATTGTGATGAGTCAGAATTGACTTGATGGCAGTAAGTTCAGTTTTTAGTTTTTATGAGTGTTTACAGAGGACTTTCTTTCTAAAATTTAATCCCAATTTTTTGCAAGAGAAATCCCACACTGAACTCTCTCCAGTGACTGCCTCAGGCTCGTAGGCCCATGTGTGACCAAGATGTCAGCTGAAGCCCTCAAACCCTGGGCCCACACCCAGCAGCTCACCACCACAGAGCAACTCAACCGTGACTGCATATCTCACTATTGCCAAAGCCCTGACACACGGTGTCCTTTTGCCGGCAGGGTGGAATATATGGAGAAGAGCAAGCATCTGCAAGAACAGCTCAATGAACTCAAGACAGAGATCGAGGCCTTGAAACTAAAGGAGAGGGAGACGGCACTGGACATCCTGCACAGCGAGAATGCAGACAGGGGTGGCACCAACAGCAAGCACAACACCATCAAAAAGGTACCCAAGGCCTCTTGTCTCCTGCTCATGAGGACACTTGCTAATGAAATGTGAGGTGGGCCAAGGCATTAGACTCTTGTCATTTTTTATATGTACTTAGTTGAGGGAATTTTTTGACACTTGCCAGAAAGGGAATTTAATCTGCCAATGACTAAACCCATTGGCTTGATGGAAGTGGAGCTTGTGTTAAAAGCTCTGATGAAATGAATCTCTGTTTTGATCCATCATTTAGCAGTCTAGCAGTTCTGACTTTTAAGCCAAGAGGAGTTATGCCCAGGGAGCTGCTTTACTTTATTAACGAGCAAGAAGAATGAAATGGAGGCCACTGAGAATGGATGCTCAGTCTATTCTTTAGTGTTCTTTTGTGGAAAGGACTATAAAATTCTGTTCTTGATTTGGAAACCAAAGTCTGATTTTTAACTTTTTTCATACTTGAAAGGAAGTATCAAGGAGTACCTTTATGTTTTAAAAGATGAGACTTCATTACGTGAATGACAGTTTCTTATCTTTCTCCATTGGTATTTTGAGCTTTCAGCATTTTAGAGGAAGTTAAATTTCATACTAATTATCAACCCGAGAGTCACTTCTTTATGTCAGCATAAAAAGAAAGGCTCTCTTTTGCCAATTGCCACTGTGCTCTTAACTGATAGATTAATGCCTATAAAATAGGTGTCATTAAGATAAGACCAGTGTGACTAATTTTTAACTCTTTCCCTTAGTCTTTCAAATGGTCTCCCAGTTGAAGAAATTCCTCCATCGCCTGTGTTTAAGCAGAGAGCTCTGTGTCTCACTCATTGTCAGTGGGGAGACTTCTGTCTCTGAGTCAGTATCAACTTTTTCATAAAAAGTTAGACAACTTTTTTATAACACACCCTGTAGAAGGGAAGGTCTTTCCACATCTTGGGCTCATATGAATTGTTTGTATTTCCTTCCAAAACAAAATGATTTAAGCAAAAGGGGAGCTTGTAGGGTTTGCGGGGGAGGAGGCCTTAGCCAGTAAGCAGAAAAGTAAAATGATGAATGGGCCAGGGAACCACTCTGCTCTTGCGCTATTCTCCAAATGGACAGCTCCGCACACAACACTTCAGTTCAGCACCAGGAGCAATTGGATCTTTCCACTACTGCAGTGAGCTGGGTCTCTGGAGTGGGGAAGGCTGGAGAGACCCGTTTCCATTCCTAAAAGCCAACACACAAAAAGTCACTTGTTGCGGTGTCAGGCCTGTCTGAGCATTTTGCAAATGGCACATGTGGCATTGTTGATATCACAAGGGTATGTTCTTCTTTTTCTTCATTTTATTTTGCTGGTTTAGCCTCAAGCCCAAGGCAGAAGACCTATCTGCATTTGAGCCCTGAAAGTAGGTTACCCCAGGTACTCTGTATGTGGTGATGGTACTGCCCTCTGTGATACTAACCCATGCATGAGCTTGCCTGTCATTGGCCTCGAGCAGTGCCTCAGCCCTCCCCTGGGCAGCTGGTGCCTGGATGCTGACTGCAGCATGCTTGAGTCTGAGAGCAGGCATCCGCCCTGAGGCCCGGAATGCTGCCTCATTCTGAAGAGCATGTCATGGAGTCATCGGACCAGTCGTCATTTACATCTGTGTCACTGTTGGGCTGGGGACGGTCATGGCTTCTTGTCCAGTCAGGTGTGTCTAAAAGTCCTTTGTCTTGGTGACGTACTCCTTAGATATATAACCCTAGCATGGAAATGGGATCGGTCTGGTTGCTTTTACAACTGGTGTCTTTGGCTGATGACCAAGACCTCACTGTAGGGATAACCTCTGAAGACTTATGGTCACACCTGGCAACTTCTGGCCATTTATGAAGGGGTAGCTTCTTCTCATTCATTCTCCTGCCGAGCCTCCTCTTTCTATGCTCATCCATTTTCTTCTCAAGGAAAGCAAATGAATAGCACAAAGGGTCTGAATTGTAAGTAAGTCTGAACGTACTGTTTGTTCTATCAGCACTCTGAAAGGCCGGCTCTGCTTCCACTTCTCCGAAGCATGGTGTGGCGTATGGTTGGCATGAATGCCCATTAGAGCCGAGCAATCGTGTGCAGCCAGTAGACAAGTGCTCCATGGCTGCTGAGTGAATTAATGGAACATTTGCTGTTTTCCTTCCAACATTCCCAGGCAGTGGGGAGAATTGATTGTGCCCTATAATAGAATGACATCCTGCCTCTGCTTCTTACCTAACTCCCAGTTGTCCCCTGGCCAGTGAGGCAAACAGTATCCACGGCAGCAGGGGACTTGTTTGAAGCTCTCGCTGTAGTTTCTTCTATTAGCACATTGGAAGCTTGGTGTGCTTTCTACCAAAAAACGGGGCCTGGCGTCAGATTGATCTGACGTGTGGTGGTTGTCCAAGCCAGAGAGGTTACAGACAGGAAAGTACCAGATGAACCTCATGAGAAGGTTGGTTCCATGGCCTGAACTCTGATCTGTGACAGTTTCATGTAGCAGCCTTCTATTTCTTCAGCCTTTGCACCACACATAGGTGCGTGCATGGTCAGGTTGACTCTGACCAGAGCTGTTAGGACCAGCATAGGAATGGGTAGGCCAGATGAGTCATGGCTCAAGCAGTAAGTGGACTCTGGGGTGGACTCTCTATGTTTCCTGGACTTTATGGTTAACAAGCAGAAAAGTGCTTTATGTGTCAGCCTTAGCTGTGAAGTCCCTGTGTCTAGTAACCTTTCTGCACTGGGGTGGCTCTGGGTGGACCCTGCTGCAGTCTAGCTGAAGAGACACTTCAGGCTTTGGGTAGATGGTACCTGAAATGTCAAGGGCAGAGCTCCATCTGGAACTGCAAAAGCTGACGGTGAACCTGGAGAGTTTCCAGTGCCCTAAGCGCTCATTAATCTTGGGTCAAACCAGCCAGCATTGATTTTGATTTGGTTTATAGTATTTTCTGATCATAGATTTGATCAAGGAAAAGGAAGGGTGTCCTAACCCCCACAGTCTAGGTATACTCCTCCTCCTTGCTTTCTACCTCTTCTGCCTCACCAAGAGATCTTGGGGTCCAGCACAATCTCGTCAGTACCCATGGTGGCTGATGCAAGGACCACTTCCCAGCATGGCCAGGGTTGTAGAAGAAAGAGAGAAACGATTTGGAGTGCCAGAATGAGGTCTGGTCAGGTAACCGAGGCTTGGCCTCCCCTCTCTGCTCTGCCACTTCCTTTTTAGAGGGCAATTTCTCACTGGCCTCACCCTCACGCACAGCAAGAGCTCAGTCAGGGCTTAGAACTAGGAAAAGAGACCAAATCACTAGGGAACCTGTGGTGCAGGCCCAGGGCAAGCATCATTGGCTGCACGTCTGCATTTATGATAAGCATGTGTATTAATTGTATTCATCACCATGCATTTGTAGATAAAAAACATCAATGACAACAACAAAAGCCAGAATTAACTTCAGTAGTGCTTTCTAATACCCAATTTGGATTTGCAAAGGTATATTTTTCTCCTGCTGCTAATCTTAACCCTGCATTTTCATTTCTCCCAACTTGGCATTTGCATCTAAGTCAGGTAGCACTAGTAGTCAACAGCTATTCTGGTAACCTAGCTCTTTTGTGGTAAGAGGGCATGTGGGTCTTCTGAGCAGGGAGGCCTGGCAACCTGGTAGGGTGAGGGGTGATACAGGGGTTTCAGTCCTGAGCTTCTTGCCTTCAGAGTCAGCAGTACTGATGACATGAATGGTAGTCAGCCATAATTTTGACAGCAAACGCTGGAGATGATCAGGCAGCCCTGGAGCATGCCCACTTCAGGTTCTTGCTCTCATCCCCTCCCACAGGACAGTTTTCATGCTCTCTGGCTTGGGTGTCCCAAAACTCGTCATTATTTTGTGCACATTCATGATCCCTAGGGGAGCATGAAGTTTCAAAGACAACAGGTAAATGAGAAATCCTTGAGATTGTAGAGCTGAGAAAGTTCATTTTATTAGATTGGCTTGAAACCCCAGGATCCAGCTGTGTGTTTCTGCTGGTGGAGGGATAGAATCAGAGGAACCTTGACATTTAGCCAGAGTGTCTCTCTTAGATCGGGAAGACATAAAAGCCCAGTGTCATCGTCAATTTGTGTGGACTCCCCTTGGAGATGCAGGGCTGGTGAAGTGAAGTAGAACACTTCAGGCACCCACGGAAGTCATAAATCACAGGGAGAAATTGGATATCCATGAAAGGTGTCTCCCACAATTAAACCAACAGCCAGAGCTTTCCGGGTGACCTCTGGTTCGTGTTGCTATCCTCAAAGATGCTGCTAAATAGTTGGTACTTAATTATGTGGTTAATCAGCTCAACCCTCCTATGAACCCTGTGGACTGAGTGTCTCTGCTTCCGTTGTCTGGTCGAGCATCCTCAGCCCTGACATAAAGGCAGAACACTGACTCCCTGGCTCCAGAACCTTCCCTTTGTTGTTGGAACACTGCAGTGGTGGGAGGGAGGAGGGAAAGGAAGAGGAGTGGGGAGCAAGGAGCAGCATCAAATGTGGACATAGAACACAGAAGAAATTGCAGTGGCTGAGAGAAGCTCTTGCTCTCGTGTTCCCATCTTGTTGGAAGCTTGGGGAAGGCCTTGGGAGTCACAGCGTGGTCCCAGGAAGGATGCTTGTCTTGGATGGGCTACCTACTTTACCTCACACACCAAAAAATCACTTCCATTTTTAGGTGCCTCTTCATTGTGGAGGGCTTTACTTGTTTCTGACAGTTCTTTAGATAGAAGATTCTACCAGCCTCTTTTCTGAAAGACTGCTCTACAATAGCTGATTTTGGTTGGAAGGCTTTCCCGATTGAGCAGTTGGTCTTTGGGAGGTGCTGCCTTTCCCGCTATGATATTATACTCCCATTTGGAAGTGCCTGCGGACATTATTTGGGACTCATTTGATGCCATAAAACATCCCGTTTGGTCCCTCAGCACTGGAAACGGGTTTCAGTGCAGCTCTGCTCCTATCCCCTGATTTGTTATTGCAACAGTGGGAGGGAAAAGACACTGGATGCAAACTCATTCTGCAGGCGCA